ATCAAAAGATGGAAGAAGTATCCACAAAGCCAATGCTGCCAAGACCCTGAGCTCAGAACTGAGGATATTCAAAAGGCTCATGTGTTCCCCTTGTGCTGATTCTGGCAGCTAATTTTACACCAGAACCCCCTTCCAGGCAGGCATTAGTACATCACAGGGAGAGAGGAGCAGCTTTACTCCTATCACATTAGAAATCCACAACATTTTATCAGAACACAGCATATCAAGTATTAAGTTCTACAGGTTTGTGATAGATATTTTTGAATGAAAAAATGTTTCTCCTTTGAATAATTACAGGAATCTACAACATTTTCTTCCACTGTGCATCCACATAGGTATTTGTATGCAAATAGATAGAAATCTGTCTATCATATATGGATGAAAAAAAATCAGTCAGAGTTACTGTTCATGTAGGCAGCTCATTAATCAGTAAGAGTTCTACATCTGATTCATGGCACACCTAGAGGTGAATCATAATTTGTTAATAACAAAGAGTAAAACACGTCTGGGCAAGGAGAGAAAGTCAATGGTAAAGTGCTGATGTTGTATTAATCTGGCCCATTAACTTGATGGAGCACAGCACAAGTGATGTCCAAATCCAGAGAAAGAATGAATGTGTATCATCTGAAGAACAAGAAGCTTTGCAAATTGCTCACTTCAAACCATAGCACATAATTCTTTAGATTAAGCTATACATCTTTTAAGAAAACTTTAACTTTACAAATGAATTGAGTACAGTGGAGAGCCACCAATTTTGTTTCTCACTTTGGCATACTACAGAATTAGATACATAGATTTCCAGCCATCTATCTGAAGATATATGACAAATAATTTCCTGCTTCCCTGTCTGTGGGTTTTTTCTCTGGGAAATTAAATTGTGACCAGGATATTCCACTGAGCCTGCACTGCTATACAAACTAAGTAACAGATATTGGGTCATGGCTTTATTCCTTCTTTTTAGGACTGCTCTCCATGTCATTTCTTCCTGTGCTACTGAATATTTGATGACTTCTTAGAGAGATGCACAGCTTATACTTTACGTCTTTCTAAAAGGAGTGCTAGGTTACTGATTCATTTATAATACAGTAAAATTAAACTAAATGAGTTAAACACTTCTGTGTTAAAGTGATCTTGCTGGGTAACAGCCAAAGCTATCAGAAAAGCCCAGGAGCATTACTTTCATAATTTTTTTTTCCTCCAGAGAACCAGTTTATCATTCCTACCCCTGTAAACAAACATGCCAATGCTATCACTTCTGTGATACACATTTATCATTATTGACGCATTTTATCACATTGCTCTACAGCTTCTTTGATCTTTTCAGTTGTTAAATATCTCCAGTTTTCCCTCTGTAAAACAATCTTGCCCATGAGAGAGAGCTGCTAGCAAGAGGAAGGGACATACATATTTAGGACCAATACATTTGATAATCAAGTATTAAAATGAAAACAGAAAGCTTTCCTGTACAGAAACAATGCACAGGTTTTTTTCAGTGGGTACAGAAACACCAGCACAAGGAAAGATTAAGTCACATGTGCACACAAAAGCAAACATATAGGAAGGAAAAATCACCACCAGAGCCAACCAAACTCCCCACTATTACAGGTGGGATTTTCTGAAACCTCCGCCCCTTACAGGCAACATTTTGTAACAAAAGCTTTCACTGGAAACAAGCACCAGAAAATTCTCTACTTTTTTTCAAAGTTAGGGGTAAAATCAACCTAATATTTCTTTTTCTCTCTGCATACTTATAAGGCGTTACTAATCTTCACATCTTCTGAGAAAATATGTTTGGGTTTAATAATTTATGTCTTTAAGCAAAGCTTTTGCTAACTGAAATGTATACAGTCATTCTTCCTCTAAATACAGTGATGAGGGCACTATTTCTCCAAGTCACTTAGACCATTTGACCAACAATCAGCAACCAACAGGCAATCAAGGAACATGGATTCCCCCGATGGAGAAAAAAAGAGCCAGTGGGAAGGAACTTTCCCTTCTATCAGTTTGATCTTTACTACAACAAGCCTCTGTAGATTTCCTCTGTATAATTAAAATGTTCTCCCTTTAGGTTCACTATATTTTCTGAGGCAAAGATCTTTATCACTCTAACCATAAGAACTAGTGTGAATATATGTATGTTATTTCCACTTTAAAATGTGGAAGAGGACTTCAAAAGCTTTTTATTTATTGTAGCTGCTGCGCACTACATATTTGATAAAAACATCATAAGTAGTTTTTCCAACTCAGTAAAGCTATGTAAGGACAAAGAACAGAAGATGGCTACTGTTCTTTTGGGTCCTCAAAGACTGTGGAGTAACCACAGAACCCAGGTTTTTCTTAGGAATGTTGCCAACAGCAAGGGTGAAATTAGTTTTTGCAGTGCACAAATGGCTGGTAGTTGCAACTACCATATAAAGCACTGCCTTGGTTAGCAAGGCCATGGTTTTTGACATGGAACATACATACATTCACAACTACAAATATATTAGAATAACCTCACGAATCTACAAAAATATCCTTTTCTACCTCAGAAATAAATTGACTTCAAGCGATAATAGGTTGTACTAATTTGTGATTCCTCATAAAGTGATAAACCAGCTGTGGGAAACCCAAAACTGCAGTCTTTCTGAGCTCAAGTAGAAGCATTGCAGCAAACATACTATAAATGATTTTGCTCCCCTTGTCTCAGAGAGTGAAGGTCATTACCCACTTAACCAGTCTAGAAAGCAGTCTATTTCAATGTCTTTCCAATTTCTGAGGTGTTGTATACTTCACCACTTACCAGAATGCCCTTCTGGAAGAAGAAAGCAATTTTAATGTGATCTCTGTGTAATGTTGTTATTATGAAACATAAATCTTACTAGTACTTGCAGGATACTGCTCGTCATCTTTGTCATGGAAATCACCTGCCGTTGTCCCAAAAGAGGTATCAGGTGATACAGATGGAAATTCATCACCTGTATTGTGATGGATAAATCATTACTATTTCATAAGCTCAGTTACAATAGAGTACTCACAAGTACTTCAACTATTCCACCCTGCAAGCTCCATTCCTTCATGTACTGGTCCAAGAGAGAAGAAAGATGCAGACCCCACACAAGCTTATCTCACTAACACAGTAAGGATATTACCCAAACAGATCGTTTGAAGAGAATGTATTACAGTGACAATGAACATTCTGGCAATGATCTATTTATGTGCTACAAGATCTCATTATAGCTGTAGGACATGAGGACAGGACTCTAGAGCAATGAGTAAAGTTATTCATATTCCCCTCTGCTGAGATATATTCCGAGGTTTAGTCCAAAAATCTAGATGATGCATGCAAGCAGAGATGGTAACAGTTGTAACAGCAACCAACAGAAATACACTGCACACACCTTGGGGAATGTGGGGAATGTTTCTGATCCTAGTTCCTTAGCTAGACAGTCTTAGGATTTACCTTTAATGGTGCTAGCTACATGTCAAAACAAGCATAACATGCCGTGAGTACACCACCAGTGAAAAGTAATTTTATAATCCTAATGTTCTTACTTTTTTTTTTAAATTAATTTCAGTATGTATTGAGGATAGTAATGCAAAATACTGCTATCCTTCACTGGTAATTTATTAGTGATTTGATAAAAAGCCTGTAGTCACACAGTAAGCTTTACTGTTCTTAGAGGATGACTTATATCTGTATCCCTGACATTCAACGGGAGCGATTCTTTCAGACCTCTGATAATTTCAGTCACACAAGCAACATAAAAGATTAAATAAAGTAAGTGGAAAAGAACATGGCATTTGTATTTGACAGGGCCCCATGAAATTAGTCTCAACCTACTGTCCTTACCATAGATTCCAGGAAATTCCTTTTCACCTCCTCCAGAAGAGTGACCTGGGAGCTGTGAGACTGGAGTAGGACTTCCATAATACGAGGGGCTGGACCTGCTGATGGAGGCATCCATGGCAGTTGTCTCATGAGTTGATCCACTACCTGCATTTTCATCATCCACCCCTGAGGTGGAGGACTCTCCAGCGGTGTGACGTGTGCCATCCGCGTTGAAGCTGGAGCCATCCGCGTTGTCAATGACTGCGGAAATAGAATTAAACGGAATTTGTGTCAAGGAGATACACAGCCATAATAAAGAATAGTGCCTATGGATTAATACCAGTTCACCTGGTTTTAGCCTCCTATCTAACCTAGATAATACATCACTAAAATATGTCTAATGCATATATGCTAATTTATATGTTTTTTGCATTTGTAGGCCTGAATTCCATCACTTATTTTTTTCAAACACCTTGATTTTAACATAACGTCTTGGCATTTGTAAAGTCAATCAGATTTTAGAGTTGGAAGAAATAATTTATTATGAGCCTTTTTTCCGCTTCCAGCAGCTTTTCTAACAAACAGTTCAAATCAGATGTATGAAGGCTGCAGTCTTAAGCAAATTCCTTTACCTCAAAGGGATGCTGGCAGCTCGGAGGTACCAAAAAATGTCAAATACCTATACAAAAAATGTTTGGTATCCTGAAATAAGCCAAACTTCATAGGCTTTAGGGGAAGACAAGTGACTAGTTGCTTTAATTTCTACTGAACATCTCTTAACTTCTTTTTCTTACGTTCGGCTTGGCTTTTTTAATATTAGTGATTGTTTATGTAAGATAAGATAACCAGCTACTAAAAACTGAGCAAGTGTATGTCTTTCTAATCAGTACAGTACCTATTTCATCCTGGTTGCTGAGTAAGGAAGTATCTATTTTTACAACTGGCTCACATGTTTTTTCCTCTGTTTCTGTGAAAGAAGGAAAATAGAAAGTATTAATTAAAAAAAATGGATTAAAAAATTACATGTATACCCAAGTCAATTGTACATGACAAAACATCAGCTTCAGATGAGGAGGACTGGAAGCAAATTTCCAAACAAATGCTATTCACTGATGTGCCACCTTCCCAGGTGGGGCACTTTGAGATTGTTCCGTCAGCTAACAATGAGATTCCCCATTTCCATAACCATTCCAGAAAATGTTTGCAATCAGTGCCAGTTAAACCAGCCTTATGACACAGTTTCAACGCAGTCAGACCCACTGTCACTGTGGCAGTGGCAACTCTAATGTTTTTAGCCGGCAAGGCCCTGTCCCTCCCTGGAGGGCTCAGCAGAAGCAGTGTGTGCCCCGCTCTGGTGAGCACTGCCGGCCCCTGTGGGCTGAAGTGCCCCACCTGGGGACGGTGTATGAGCTACCTGCTCACACTGCTGGTAGGAAATAATACTTGGGAGGAGTTATAAAGATCTGGAGGGCATGGACATCACCATTGTAGTACTCTGTGAGTGACAGACAATAGCAATTCACATGATACTACACCAATGCAGAGATTTTTAATTATATCACTACCAAGAACAAAATAAAAAAATATCACTGCATTCAAATCATCTATGAACTTTTCCTACAATTTTCTGTAAGAACTCTCTGCTTCCACTACAAATGTCACAATCTACTGAAATTCAAGATCCTGGAAGTTATTTTAGATTTTATTTTCAAACAGTGTTTTCAGCATCTGTCATAGACTATATACACTTTCCTAATAATTTGCTATAATATCTCCAACTATTGAAAAGTCCAAAAGCTTAGATGAAAGCGGTCTGCTGCTGACACACGTTGCTGTCCAGCTGCCTCATGTCTAGATGGAGATTTGAGTGAGCAAATACTGAATGAATCTGCCAACAGGAGAGCAGCAGCTCTGTTCATGGGCCTGGGATGGGCACTGCAGACCTCGGAGCTGCTGCAGGTGGCAGCCACCCCAAAAACATAAAAACTGCTCCTGGCTGTAAAGCTCACGTCTGCATGAACAGAAGAGCTGAGTGCCAGGCTGACAGCAGTTGTGTCTTTCAGAATCACTGCTGCCCTGGTTCACTTCACTAAGCCATTATCATGAACTGTTCTGAAGCTGCAAAGTTTGTCCCAAGGCCAGAAAAGTGATTTAGTTCCAAATACCCTGAAAACAAAATGGTCATTGCTGAAATTACAGATTCACTTCCAGAGGCTGACAAAATGTATTTCTTCTCAGCTGAAAACCAGGCTATGTTTATTATATAAACCCTCATCCCAGTACCTTAAATAGGCGATTACATATGTTATTTTTAGTTAATCTGTTCCTAAAATGCATCATAAAACCATCTGCTTACCTGTTGCATTGTAACAGTATGCATCATACCGAGCAGTTGCATTTGCTGAAAGTTTGTAAATGCCAGTGTTATTTGCTGCACAAAGATGATAGGGATTGATCCGTGGGATAACAACATACCCCACCACAAAACCATACCTGTGAACAACAGAGGTAAATAAACCATATTACTTACTATAGCAGACATCACCTCAAACATTAAGAAGCTGCAAAGAAACTATTATTTTTTAAAGGCTCATGCATTTATTCATATTGTTTTGCTTTTTTGTTCCTTTTTCATTTGAATGTTCCTTTCTCACATGCAGCTATATCAGTCTCCCATCACTCAACATCATTTTGTGTTTAATTTCTAGACTTAAACACATTGAAATTAAATATGCATCTTATTGGCTAGCTAGGGTGATCAGTTCCAGAGCAAGGGAGTGAACGTGAGGGAGGTGAGTGCACTTTTTGTTCAGTGTGAGCTTGTATTACCTGACACTAAATTCCCGTTCTTTAGGGATTCACATTTTCATTGCCTTGACATAACACACCGAAACATTTCACACAGCAATGTTGAGGGCTCAATTTATGGTACTTGAGCAAGTTTAAAGAATTATTGCAATCCACATCATTATCTGCAAAAACTGATGGCCTAGTAAAATATTCAAATACAAGAATCATTCATCCACAAATTCTTACTGTATCTTTCAGCTGAACAGTGTGATTATTGTGCACAGAGCTCACATAATTCAGTGAAGACTGTGATTACATAAGGTACAACACATTGTTATTGTTTTGCAATCCTGTAACACCTGACTGATTCCAATGTATTTAACTGGAGATGTGATAGAATGGTAACAAGAACTGAAGTTTGGTTTGGGTTTTGCTTTACTTCTTGAGAGGAATGATTTATCAAGAAGGAGCAAATGTCACAGCTTTGCAATTTTTTATCTAGGAACATCATTTGAGTTTCATGTCTAATGTGCAGATACCTGCAATTCTGAAACTCTTGTAGGTGGAATTATAAATTGCTTTACTCATACTCCCAACTAAGCTTACAACGCTGACACTTTACAAACCAATATTGACCTACTTGTGTTATGCTCTGTTGATTCATCATATTCACACACATTTGGATGGTTATATACAGCATATTTTCCCTCTCCTACTCACATTTAATAAGAGTTAAAGCTTACTGACAAGGATTACTTCTAGCACAGGATCAGCAAATGAATGCCATAGGGTGGGAGGGTTGGCCAGAAGGAAGGGAGGAAGAAATCCTATCTACATGGCTTGCATGTCCAAATCCGTCCTCTGGTAAAATGTGAATTAGTGAATTGTAACATTAATTAAAAATTACAGCTTCCCCCTGGGGGAAAAAAAAAATCTTTCTTCTTCTTTCAATTGCCTTCATACTTTAGCTTTAGAAAATGCTTTTCATAGTTTAGAATACTCCTAATTGCTTGCATAGAAATCTCTACCCCTATGCATTATTTAGGATTTGATCTTTAAATATTGTGTAGTGCTGGGCAATTCAGAATGCTGTGTATGTTCATGTGCTAATGTCTGAAAAGATCATGCCTACTGCATTATGAGGGACTTCCCCTCAGAGTAAAGAACTCTTTCTAGTCTTTACATGGTTCAATTTTAAATTACATTTCCACTTCTAATGGAAGAATCCCCTAAGAATTCTCTGTTCACATAGTCCACCACCACCACAATACTTGTGAAATGAACATGCCAGAACAGGAAATAGTTGCAAGCAGCATTGATGTCAGTACTATTTCTCATGGTACCAGAGTGAAAGTCTTAAAATTTTGGAGACATGCCCACTGAATTTTTCTGTGCCAGTTAGAAGATAAATTAAATTTCTCCATGCTTGCTGTTTAAGTCAGACTGCAATAAAGTTGAAAATTTGCTGACATTTACTTAAACTCCATAATGGTGTGCCACCATGAATCTCCTGGGCTGCAGTGATCATGCAGTGGTGGAGTCTGAAGTCCTGAGAGAAATGGGCAAGGAGAAGAGTGAAATCAAACTCCTGAATTTTAGGGAAGTAAACTTCCAGCACTTCAAGGAGGTAGTCAATAGGCCATCCTGGGAAACTGCCCTCAGGGACAAGAACAGAGGTGGTCTTCAAGGATTCCTTCCAATAAAGTGCAAGAGCTCTTGATACCAGTGTAAGAAATCAGGAAACCAAGCCAAGGGATCAGCACAGCTGTTTTGGGACTAAGGCACAGGAAGAAAATGCACAGGCAGTGGAAGCAGCGCACCATTACCAGCTGGGGTATAAACACACTGGGAGCAGCCTGGCCAGAAAAACCTGGGGGTACTGCTGGATGAGAGGCTGGGCACGAGCCAGCAGTGCCTGCTTGCAGCCCAGAGAGCCAAACTCATCCTGGGCTGTGTCCCAAGCAGGGTGGGCAGCAGGTCAAGGGGGGAGCTTCCCCCTCTCTGCTCTGAGACCCCCCTGAAGTGCTGTGTCCAGCTCTGGGCTCCCCAGCACAAGAAGGACATGGACCTATTGGAGTTCAGAGGAGCGCCATGAAGTTGATTACAGGGATGAAGCACCTCAGCTATAAGGAAACACTGAGAAGATTGCAATTGTTCAGCCTCACATACTTTTATTCACTTAATTTCTTTTAATTAAAGGTTTTCTGCAACTTCTAGTCCCTTGGTCTAGTTACTTTTTGAGAAACTGGGGAGTCTGTATCATCCACATTTGTTGCTCTATACATCATTAATTACAGCAGATAATTAGGTCACTTGACAACGTGGTTTTGGGATTTTTAATAATTACTGTAGCTGTCATGTGAAACATCTCCATTCACAGATTACAAGAATGCACTAGTACTGTGGCCATTTTTTCAGTGGGATGTCAAGAGCTGACCCCTCACAGTACCACCTGCTGCTCTTTACTGTTCCTTGGCAAGACTGAGTTCCCTTCACTGCATTCACCATCCTCAGCCTTTGACCTCAAATTAGGTCCTTCCTTCCCACATACTTATCTTACCAATTGTTCAGTGACACACTAGAATATGAACATCTTCCTAACTAGCTGATTATACGGTCAGTCTTTTGTTACCTTTATATTTTATATGTGTGAGGTTGTGATTTCTTTAAAAAAATAAATGGCAAAAAACTATGGCATCAAGGACTTACTTATTACTGGACTCAGAGCAAACATGCACATGCACAAAGATGGTTTTTTCATTATAGAATATAACTTACTTAGCCAATCATAGCACCTACAGTAAGTCAAATGTAATTACTACACTAGTGGTGTAATGATATACCATGTCTTCAAGTTTCTTTACCTGCAAGTTTCAAATCCAAGCTCATGAGCTTTCTTCAGCTGCTCTAGTGTTGCCAAGGTACTGTTGAGAGCTCTGCAGAGTTCAACTGCTTCAGATCGTGTGAGACTGTAGCGACCATTTTTTTCAACATGAAAAACTCCTCCATATCTGCAACTTACATTGAATTCTGTTATCAAAAGAAAAGAAAAAAAATGTTAAAAATGTATACCTAATGCTTCACTGAGACCTGGAAATTAATTTTTTCAAGTATAATGCTTTCAAAGCAAGCCCACAAGTAATAGCTACCAATTCGTTCAAAAAAGCACTGCCACTTTCAATCACCTTTTTCATACTTTCCCTCTTTGGGCTGAGCCAAATCTTCAGTCTTCCCAAAACCAGCAATACAACATGTTTTTGTAGGGTATCTAGGACAATTAACGTGCCATTAACACTAACGTGCAGAAGAAAGGGTTAATAATAATAATATCAATACAAATAAGAATAATCACATGCATAGAGAGAAATGGGGAAACAACAGGACACTTGAAAGCAATGTGAATTAATTTTGCTTCTGTCCCACCTTTCCCTCAAGAGAAAAAAAGCAGTGGCAACTCCAAACTAGAATGACAACTGCAAAGCACACTTCATAGGAGTAGCTATTATTTCCAGTGCGAAGAGGAGCATGACTCATTTTTATCTTAATTTTAATGGAAGTTCCATGTGAAAGCAAGGGAAAAATAGACCAGTCTTCTCCAATATTAAAAGGGTGTGTCCTTACTGTTTATTTGAAAAAAAAAAGATGATATAGGAAAACTGTTTTTCTAAAAGACACGAGATGCAATTCATGCACATTTGCATTAACATATTATAAATAATGAGCAACTTTCCTAATGTGATTTTTGCTTGACAGTTTATTTTGTTCTACAGCATAAATGTGAAAGAAAATGATAATATCCAAGGCATGCACTCTTTCTTTAATTACTTTTGTCCATTCATAAATTGATGTTATTCTGTGTACAAGGTATCTACTCAGTGTAAACCTCAAGGAACTTTCCTTTCCATTGCTCACAGGAAATACTGAAGGAGATAAAATGCAAGAGATAAGATGCAGGCTGGGTGATACATGAGAGGCCAACCACTATTCACAGCATAGGTAGGAGGCCAACAGTACTGATGCTTGCTTGTCCAAAGAAGCTCAAAAGCTGTGCATCCAATCTTGAATGCTTGCACCATAAGCAACAGAATTAATCATTATTGTTACTTGGATAGCCTTCCCACAAAATGAATGGAAAAAAACCCTCTTTTCCAACAATTCGACCTTCCCCAGTATTGACTGGAAAAAAAAATTAATTTAGACAAAATCAATTGGTATTTCAGAGCTGTTTAACAGTCTTGTTAATTACAGTTCTTTGTATTTTTGATATTTTGTTGTCACATGTCATTAAAAAACATATGGCCCTTCTGCCACTCCTTGACTACTGCTAGGATGGAGCTGCTCTCACATCTGCCATGCCAGTGACTTCTACTTTGGCTCCAAATATTTCATATTCAAAGCCTGATAGTGTCCTGGACGTTGTCCAGGTAGTACCTGTATTAAGCACCTATTAAATTACCTAGACAAGAAAAAAGGTTTCTCTTTACTTTTCCCTTCTTGATTCTCTCTTCCTAAAACACACTCTGTGAGGCCCAAGACTTAATGTTAAATATGGGGATAAGATCACAAAGCTGTACTTGATTACTTAGACGTAACAAGCTCAGAGATTCTGGAGATAAATTTTCTTGGAGCATCAACATCTTTTCTGATAATTTTAGGCTAATTTCTAAAAAGCTTTCAGTGTGAAAGCAGATACCACATACACTTGCTTTGGCTTCCATTTGATTGCAGTTAATCCTAGATTCACTGAATTATAAAGTGAAGTTTGCTTTTGTTTAGAGAGAGTTGAATTAGCTATCATCAAACCTCAGCCCACTCCTGGTTTTTAACACAACAATTTTTGCTCTATTACCACTCTGAGATTCACTCATACTCAGAATTCTGCTTAGAGAGTCAATTACTTAGTGTTCTGCTGCTCAGAAAAGTAGGCTTACTCACACAGATAGGCTTAATGGAACGACACGTGGGCTGCATGCCTGCACGTGTGTACGTTTTCCATGGAAATGCTGAGCCTGAGCAGACCCTGCACCCCAGGACGCTGCTGGGGGTACCAGGCTGGCTGCACGTGCGCTGCCCAGCTGCAGGAGAACGCCCAGCCACGCTCCCAGGAAGCCTTGCCTGCGCAGCATGGGAGATCACGTGGGTGTCCAGGAAACCCCAGGCAAAAATGTGGCAATCCAGTTCTCAAAACTGGGTTTGAGGCCATCCAATTCGTTGGCACTGTGTCCTACAGTAATGCTGAGACAGCATCTCTGTCTTCACTTTGATGATATCTTCTACGCCTACTATTCCAAAAGTACCACTGCTGTAGCAGAGACACTCTGTTCATGAAGAGCTGAGTATGGAAAAAGGACCAAAGCAGTACCCAAAATTCACACAGAATTTCATAGTCTAAGCAAATTGTGTAGATACAGCATCTACTCTTTGAAGGCAGTGATTACCACATTTTAAAAATGAGCTATCAGGGAACACAGCATTTTTACCGTATAGTCTCAGATTTTAACGTTCACACAATGGGGAGGGACCCTTAACTGCATTAACAAAAAAATTCTAATCACACCAATAAATACCATATCAAAAACAAATTATGGGATCTAAACTAAATTAATACCTTCATTTTTTTTTCCCATGCTCAGGCTTACAGAGTAATTTTGAATTAAGGAAGAAACATGACTGAAATTTAAATCAAAACACATATTTCACCTTTTCCCATAGGGCAAGAAGGCCAAATCCATTAATTTTATATTGATGTTACTTAGCTGGCTGTAACACACTTATGCAAAAGATGGGTTTTTATTGTGTTCCAAGAGCCAAGGCAATGTAAAACTCATTCCATGTGACTGACTATTGCTGATCCTTTTAACATTTTTGAATCTTCAAACGGGCTGACTCAGAGTGGACTCACAGTGAAATCACCAACAGCACGCTAACTTTCCCTCCTTCCTTCTCCTAGAGCTGTCTGGCTTTGGGGACTGACAGGACACAATCCTTCCTTTTTTTCTTCATTCACATGATTTGCTAGAGCTGTTTAATAATAGCCCTTGAAGAAGGCAAACGGTACGAAAAACATCTGAATTTTCATAATCATCAATCTCACCCAGACCATGAGATTGGGTGACACAACCCAAAGCCATGAAGTGCTTCTGTCTGTGCTGAGCTTTATGAGCATGGAAAGCATTAACTTCCACATTTCTCCCCATCCTTGCTGGGATTTCTGGTGCCCTCTCTCAAGCAGCTGCACGCAAACCTTTCTCTGCTATCCTCATTCACACATCTAAACCAGATTCAATCAATACTTGTCAGCCAAAATCACTAACTTTGGTTCCCCAGACAATTTGCTAGCTAGAGCCCACTGGTAGGGTGGAATCACCTCACACAGACTAAAGAGCATTGTCCTGTCAGAGAAGTGTGAGTTACACCCTGATAATTAATAGGAGAGGCTTGTTAGAAACTGTCACTGTAAGAAACCAGGTGCAATTTCCACTTCCACCCTGATTCTGCAACCCTTATGTATAATGAGTAACACTGACTCATGCTAACTCTTCTCACTGGAATTAATTTTCCATGAAGATTTTTGGTATACTGTATGGATGCCTCATGCTCTACTCCCCAGTTTTCATTGTTTTCAAGACACCACCTGGGGGTTTCATTCTCAAACTGTCTTTTTTTGGAGGGAAAGAAAACAAAAAGCAGCAGATCTTTTAGCAGCTGCAGAGAAACATCAAAGTAAGACAAGAGGAAGATGTGCGAACACCCTGCCCGCTGGAGCGAAAGCAGTGTAAGACCTGTACGTGCTAACAGACTTCTTGGTAAAACCGCACGCTGAACTGCATGGCAACCAGGAAATGTTAGGGGGATGTTTTGGTGGGGATTTTCCTTTTCAGTTTGTGGTTCAAGATGACTGATAGCTCACCAGGATGTGCTAAACTGCGGCTGACAAAAGGGACAGAACTAGAGGTTCGACAGCGCATATAGTTTTCATTCTCTTTGTTTTAATAGATATAGGATTTACATTTACTGTAAGAACTATGTTCTATATTTATTAAACTGATTTCTAGCTCTAGGCAGATGTACATGTGTAATTGTTTCCTTATAATCACAGATTATTGAATTTTGTACTGACACTTCTGAACAGGAACCACTACCAGCTTAGCACTGGTACCTGCACTATGAATATTATCGCCTGCTTTAAATGCATGCCAGCAATGAAGCAGCAAAAACTAACATACTGGAAACAGATTCAAATATACTTAAAAGAAAATCCTAGTCATTACTATTCCTCTTCAAGCAAATCTATGAATTGGGCCACATGAGTGCTAAAATCTGAGGAGATCTGGACAATTCAGATCTTGTCTCTCAGTTCAGACCTATCTCTAGTTATGCCTGGTTTTCTAATTGTTTCTCAAGAAAACTACTTTATGGCTAAATAAGAATGAAATTTCATATGGGATGGATTCATAAAACATTTCAGGATCCAAAACATTTTGTCAATGTATATATTACGTAAGTCTGATTACTGCCATTTTGACATCTGTGAGAACTTAAAATGTACAAAAACTATTATTCAGTGATTACTTAATATACTACAACACACATGGGCCTGGAAAGCATTATCTGCTGAGTATTCTACCTTTTTTTCAGTCTATTAGTAAAAAAGTTCACTCAAGCAACTTGCAGCCCAGGCAACTGTAACAGGATACAGAGGCTTTTACCTTTATGTCAGAAGTTGGACTGAAGCCCAAGGCAGTGATGAAAACCACTGGATAGCTGTTTGTTAGGTTATGTGAAATGATTCATTAATCCCAGCCACACTCACTAATAGACACGTGTCGACATCATTAAAACACACCTATACTTGAAACCCTCAGGGCTTGATGAGGAAAGGAAAACTGTGCTGGGAAAATAGGACTCAAAACTGGGATGACTACACACTGATCAAAATTCAGAAGTCAAATTTGCAAGATCCATGTGAATGAAGCCAGCAGTCCTTTACCATCCCAACACAAAAGTGCCAAGGATCAAGCCACACATAT